ACATCCGCAACATTGCCCGACTCTGCCACTGCCTCACCCCTCAGGCCGCCGAAACCTACATACAAGCCTGCATTACATCTAATCATCTACATCTCCACTATGCCAACACCCTGCTGGTCAGCTTTCCAAACTCTCCGCTCCACATGCTGCAGATCACCCAGAACTCTGCAGCTCGTGTCCTCTCCTGCACCACCACCACCAACAATAATTTAGATTTATGTAGCGCCCTCAATGCCGGATGGGGTCTCGGAGCGCTTCACCAGCCTCTGTGATGCCATCACACCCACCCTCGCCCAGCTCCACTAGCTCCCCATCCTTCAGAGGGCCAAGTTCATAATCTTTTTTCTCACCTTCAAGGCCTTCCCTGGCCTTGGCCCCTCCTAGCTCTCCGACCTGCTAACCCCTTATCAACCTGTCCGTTCCCTCTGCACAGCAGGCTCTGTCCGATCTGCTCCATGTCCCCTGCCCAGCCCGCCCCACCATCTGCGGTTGGGCCTTCAGCCTCTCTGCCTCCACCCTCTGGAACTCCATCCCACATTCCCTTTGCCTTGCTCCATCCTCTTCAACTGTGCCTTTGGCCAGCTTCCTGTCCTCCCTGCCCTCCACCTTCCCTGATCCCAACAACCCCTGCTCGGTTCCTAATCCCTGACTGTTCAGGGCCTCCCGACGTAAAAGGTGCTTTGCAAATGTAATTTTGTATTGTATTGTATTTAATGAAATTGAAACGTAACTTCAAGGAATATACATGAGTGTGGAGTGTGTTATAATTATTTTCCGAAATTCCTATAATAACCCAAAATACTCACTCAGCAGCGTACTGATGTGGTGGAGAAAGGACAGCCTAATCATCTATTCAAGAGCACTTTTTCAAACTTTAAATAATGCGGTTTTCATCAAAGAGTTTTGACTTGAAGATTCCATCTTTAAGATTTCACTGAAATGCTGTTACTGTAAAGGCAATAACAGACACCCAAGCTAATCCAGTGTTCAAAGCAACTGCCATAATTGGTCATCTCCTTGTCAGGATTTAGAATATTCCTTTTAAGCCTTTCCGTACTGAATTATCTTTTGTAAATCTTACAAACTATAGTATACATAGCATCTGTAAAATCGCTTTCCGCGAATTTCTGAGGTAGAATGAAAGAATTATGTACATATGACAGAGCGAGAGCGAGAGAGAGGGAGAGAGTGTATGAACCGCTGCTGCCCACCACAGTTAGTGCAAGAGCAGCAGTCGCCCGTTATAACTCAGTGCTTTCAATAGTATGTGTAAAAACAATACAAGAATATTTAATCAGCTAGAAATGTCAGCTGCAGTCAAATAAATCTATCCGCAGCTCTCCAGATGTTGCCGCTGGAGAAAGTTGTGAAAATCATTGAAAGAGTTTGCACAAGTGCCTTAAAAATGTCACCAAAATCTAAATGGGGCTGATTTTAAAAAATGACACACAAAGTAGATTAGCTCAGTTATTCCTTTAATGAGTCTCTGCTATTTTAAAGCATAATGGTCAATTTTCAATGTGTTCTTGGAATCATATCCAGATTAACATAAAAATGAAAGTACACAATTAAAAAAAAGGCATTTGGCACATCAAGTCTGTTTCTTTCAGAGATTGCATACAATTTGCTCTGCTGTAGAATGTACCAAATTCACCACATTCCTTTTATACTACAAAAAGCAATGTGACAACTCTTCCGGTGGTCAAGCAATGGGAGCAGGGAAAATTACACTGCAAAGTTCTGGATGATCTGCAACTTGTGCAGGGAAGAGTTGGGAAATTCTGTGAATAGAGCATTGGCATAGTCAAGCCTGGAGGTGATGAAAGCTTTTAGTATTTTTGGAGGAAGGGGATTTATATGTGGAACAATTACGATCTACATTTATATATGCCTTTCACCTTGGCAGTGGTGGTTTCATTATGGGGTGGAGGCAAGTGTGATGTGGTAATTCCCATCTTCATGCACAATTTCTCAACAAAAAGGAAAAGAATGTATGCTGTTTCAGAACTCGTCAAGAATTACTCTGAAAGACAGCACTTAGAGAGCACTAATCCTGGCAAGAAGACCCGCATGAAACCGACCACCTGCTCCTCAACCCCATCCCTACCCCTCTCCTTACCTCCCAGCTCCATCTCCTTGCCCTCTACTCACTGACATCATAAACCTCTCCCTGTCCTCGGGTACCATTCCTATTCCATTAAAAATCGCTGTCATCACTCCTATCCTTAAAAAAAACCCTCCCTGGACCCATCTCTACTCCCAAACTACCGCCCTATCTCCAACCTCCCTTTCCTCTCCGAGGTCCTAGAATGAGTTGTTGCTTCTCAGCTTCGCTCCTTCCTCTCCCGCCACTCCCTTCACAAACCCCTCCAATCGGGTTTCCGTGCCGCCCACAGCACAGAAACAGCCCTGGTCAAAGTGACAAATGACATTCTGTCCATCTGCGACCAGGGCTCCTCCCTCTGCCTCCTCGTCCTCCTTGACCTTTCTGCTGCCTTTGATACCGTTGACCACTCTATCCTCACCCACCGTCTCTCCTCTCACCTCAAGCTTCACGGCTCTGTCCTTGACTGGTTCAGATTGTAACTCTTACACCGCCTGCAGTTCATCTCCACAAACGGCTTCTCCTCCAGCCCCCGCACCGTCTCGTGCGGCGTTCCTCAGGGCTCTGTCCTTAGTCCCCTCCTCTTCAATATCTATATGCTCACTCTTGGTGACATCCATAGATATGGGGTCAACTTCCACATGTATGCAGATGACACCCAACTCTACCTCTCTGCCTCCACCCTTGACTCCAGGACCACTGCTGTGCTGACAGAATGTCTGTCAAGCATCAAGTCCTGGATGAGAACTAACTTTCTTCAATTGAACATCAACAAGACCGCGGCTCTCCTGATTGGCTCCTGTCAGCACCTCTTCACCTGAGGCGCTGACAGCGTCACCATCCATGGATGCACACTCCACCTCACTAAGCCAGTCCAGAATCTTGGGGTCTTGTTTGACAACTAGCCTTTCTGCCCCACATCTGTGCCATGACCCGTTCTGCCATCCCCCACCTCTGCAACATCGCCCGACTCCACCACTGTCTCACACCGCAGGCCATCGATACCCTCATACACGTCTTCATTACACCGAGTCTCGACTATGCAAATTCATTGCCTGTCGGCTTCCCCAACTCCTCCCTCCACAGATCGCAGATCATCCAGAATTCTGCAGCCCATGTCCTCTCCCGCACTAGGCTCCGGGACCCTATCATCTCCATCCTTGCCCAACTCCACTGGCTTCCCATCTCACAGAGGATACAGTTCAAAATCCTGGTTCTCACCTTCAAAGCCCTCCATGGCCTTGCCCCTACCATCCTGTTCACTCCCTCTGCTCACCAGGCTCTGGCCTGCTTCACATCCCCCGCCTCGCTCGCTCCACTATTGGTGGGCGGACCTTCTGCCACTCTGCCCCCACCCTCTGGAACTCCATCCCGCAGTCCCTCCACCTCGCCCCCATCCCTTGCCAACTTCAAGACCCATCTCAAGACCGTGCTTTCGATCTCTCTGAGCCTTCCCCTGCCCTACACTCTCCCCGATTCCGACCCCTAGCTCGGGTCCAAAACTCTGTCTGTCCAGCGCCGTGGGACATCCTACCGACGTGAAAGGCGCTTTACAAATGTCATTTTGTTGTTGTTAGAGCTTTGCAAGTGCAATCCGCGGCTAGCTGACACCTCACTTTACAATTTCCCATGTCTAGTTTCCACTCTCTGTTTCTCCTCAAAACCCCTATCCAGGAATTTGTCACATGAGAATTGTAGGCAAAAACTAGTGCTTTACCACCCTGCTACCCTGTACATTGGAGCTCTATTATCTGCCTAGACTAATCTATATATATGTACCACTTCTGACACCAGCTGATTTGTTCAATACAACCGTAACAGTAAGTAGCCTTTTAATTTATTAAAAGATTGAATGAAGTGGAGCAGTCCTTTAACTATGCAGTCCAACTTGTCAGTGTCTTGCTGAGAACTATGAATTACTGAACCAACATGCAGCTGACGATTCCTTCTTTGATTATGAGTTTTTCTAACTATTTGCTTTGATTTCTTTTCTTCTTTCTCAAAGAACAATGAATCTGCAGCAGATGAGAGATTTAACTATGTTGAAACTAAACTATAGAAGAATTTAGCATCAGCATTAATGACACTCCTTGACTTTTAAGTCCCAAAACCAGGGAGGAGTGTGGATCCAGGAGAAAATTCAAACAGAGGCAAACATGCAGATACAGGTTCTCTGAGAAAATAATTTCTGAGATTTCTGCCTCCTATGAGTCCAATACCTCATAGATGTCTTTATTCTATTGATTTAATCCTGCAAGAAAGTACCACAAAATCTGATGTATTTATCACACTGTTGTAAAAGTTATTCCCATGGATTTAAGTAATTTAACAAAAAAAACTGTACTAGTGTATAAGTCAGACACCCAAGTTTTCTGGGATAAACACTTGAACAAAGGTGTGATTTGTGCAGTGGAAGCAACAGACCCGATTGACTGAAAGGTTATGGGGAAGAGAAGAGTTATTGTACTTTCAGTGATAAGCAGGAAAAGGAAACTGTTTTCTCTAAACAGGAGTAAAGAGCTAGAACTAGACATGAACCTCACATCCTGAATGCCTTCCGAGTGACAGTAGGGAGCTTTTTTATTAAATCTTTAAATGATGATTGGGAGGGGAGAGAAAAAAAACAAGTTTGATTTGCTTGGATCTCTTAAAATGGGAATTCCAAATGGGAATTCTATCAGATTTAATGTACCAGACTAGAAAACACGCCATCATTTATTACCCCCAGTTGTCAAAATGAACTCCATTATACACAACATATATTTAAAAAATTGGTTTCACTGTAGCATCACAGCAAACAAGTACATCTAGAAGAAAAAGTTCTTCATCCTGGTACTCTATAGATTTTGAGAAAAATCAATATGACTCTAATAGAAGATGCTCAAACACTACTTACCTGCACAGTACGACTTGCATTGATGTGCTCCTGGTGCAGCTTGCCCCACTGACTCCATCGATGGTACTGAAAATAAAGGTTTACAATGTACAATAATGAATCTGTATTTTGAGTTAAATTATACCATTTACATTTCAAATTTCTAAGATTAAGGTGATATTTTAATGTTTTATTTTTTCGTTTAATTCTGAAGATGTTCTGTAATTCTATTTCCCTAATTTTCCTTTACACTCTACATTTCAAATATCAACGACTGTTTATTGAAAACATAGCACCGAAGAGGGTATACATTAAAAACATTAAAGTACATTAGGTTTATAAAGATTATATCAGAATCCAAACACTTCTGAAAGCATTGTGTACCAAAAGTATTGCATTTCTTCATAACTAATTCTTATTAATGTATTAGTATCGCATTTAAATAATCCTTAATCCATTGTACACTGAATAAATTAAAATAGTTTTGTAAACGTGCAATTTCAATTACATAAAAAGTTTTTAAATTATGTTTCAAGATTTGAATATTGCATTTAGTGGTCAATACTATAATTAAAATCCTGTATTTACCAATTGGTCCACAGAGAGAAATTAATAATTACAGAGAAATTTGCGCTTTCTTGTGATGAGGAGTAATGGAAATTATATAGTGTATTCGAATTGCAAGCTACAACAACTTGAAGTTGTAGAGTACTTTTCATGTACAATAATCTCATAGAATTACAGACTGTACAGCACAGAATCAGGCGATTCAGCGCAACTTGTCCATATCAGTATTTATATTCCCCATGACCCGAAATCCCCCTAATTCCCTCTCTCGGACCTTCCCTTCCCCCTCATTTATGGAAAAATAACTTTACAGAGACAATGGGGATTAATGAGCAAGATGAAGAGGAGGAGTTTGAGGATACGTAAGTTTGTAGGAGGTTTTGAAGGAGATCTGGAGAGTATTCTAGAACACTCATTGATCAGTCACAGAATCATAGACATGTTTAGCACAGAAGGAGGCATTTGGTCAATCACATCTGCACCCCCTCTCTGTGCAAGGTGTTCGTTGAATTCCACTTACTTCCATACCCTTTCAACCCTCTATCCTTCATATACCTGTCTATTTCCTTCTTGAAATACACAATGGACTGTTTCACTACCACCTTATCTGGCAAAGCATTCCACATCCCGACAACTCTTTGAATGAAATATTTCGCCTAAGTTCGCATTTCGCTCTTTGTGTGACTATCTTATAAACTGAAGCCCCTCGTCACTGACTCCCCAACTAGTGGAAACAGTTTCTCCCTATTTACCGTCGAAACCCCTCATACATTTTACATCTCTATCAGGTTCTCCCTCAATCTTCTCTGTTCCAATGAAAATAGCCGTCTTCTCCCCCTCAGCTCTTTCCCTTCCCTCCACCCACCCCCTTGAGCTCAGGTGCCCAGCCAGTTGCATAAAGCATTTTAAACGTTTTCCCAAACATGACATTCAAAAAAAAATTAAAATGTGAATAACATTCAAGGCTATTTTCAGGATATCACTCAGATGTGGATGGAAATATTGATCATTTGATATTTCAGCATTATACACAATATTCTTTCAACTTCCAAGTAAATATTTCAAATTTGAAAAAGTTCTTTTTTTTTGATTCTGTAACGTAAAGTGTCTATATGAGGCAATGACAAATGTGTTGATGTGTAAAAGTTAATTGGCAAAGCATATTGGAAGATTTCACTTCTGGACATCAATAGAATGAAAAGAGCACTTGCTCCCTTCACAATCTATTGACATGAGCCCAAGTGACATATCCCTTCTGTCGAAGTACATGATGAAGTGAAGCAGTGTCACTCTATGTGAGAATTATCCACCCCCAGCCCAGAATCATAATGCAGTGATATTTCTTTGACATAATACTCTGTGGTAACAATTAGAAAAATACTTTGAAGAGAGCAAACATTGACGTAAAACAACATCACATAAAAAGAGCATTTATGGAAGCCTGGCAAAGACTTAGCCAACTGCTCCAGAATTTTTAAACATCAACATTTCTTTGACTAACAGATAAATTGTTATTTAGCATTGGCATGTAAGTTGCTTGATTGTGACAAAAGCTGAAGTGCCTAAAGTTATTCCTTATGCCACAGAATTAATTAGACAGGTGAGGAGAAAAGAGGTTAGATTAAGAAAAAGCAGGTCAAAAATAATGGGAGGATACAACCCCCGATTCCTAGAGGAACATAGGAATGTACAAGTCAAGTTCGCTGTGATCTATGTCGCTTTTACCAAAGGAGAGCTTGCACCAACACAGATTTAATGGAATGAATGACCTCCTTTTAGGCTATAACATTTCTATGATTCTATGATTCTGAATCCTTTACAAGTACCCTAAAATATCCACTATTGCTCCTAAAATACAGCAATTTTATAATAAAGCCTACATTTAAAATATAAACTTATACTGTACATCAAAATATTGCAAACGCTTAACAGAGTTACTTTAAAATGGCGGTGCAAAATTATTATGTAGGCAAATAGTGAAACCAAATATTTTCTCGTTGCCAGGGAAAACAGCGAGAGTACAACAAAATAATTAAATTTACATCAATGTCACAAACCTTCTCAATATTTATCTGATGCTTCTTTAACCGTTCCAAGTCTGTTGGAATTGCGACTTTAACAAATTTCTGGACAGCTGGTTCCAGACGGCGAAAGGTCAGTTTTGCCAGCTCTTCTGCCATGCTGTCCCCAAACAACAACTACGGTCTTTCAGATGGAAGACACATCAGGACACTAAGTCAAAATAATAAAAAACATGGGAGCAAAGAAAAAGCCATTTAGATCACATGGTCTTTCAGAAGCTCTTCCCTTGATCAACCACTGTTGTTGTTGTTGTTGATCAAGTTAAAAGTTAGTTGATGGCAAAATGTCACAGTACGATTTTTCAACAGCACAAAAAACCCTTTGAAAAAGGTTGCAACATACTCAGAACCCGTGTCCTCTCCCGCACTAGGCTCCGCGGCCCTATTACTCCCATCCTCACCCCACTCCACTGGCTTCCCATTACACAGAGGATACAGTTCAAGGTCCTGGTCCTGGCCCTCCAGTCTTGCTCCCCACTACCTCTCCAACCTCCTAACCCCCTACCATCCCGTTCGCTCCCTCCGCTCAGCGGGCTTCAGCCTGCTTCATGACCCCCGCCTTGCTCGCCCCACTATCGGTGGGCGGGCCTTCCGACACTCTGCCCCCACCCTCTGGAACTCATTCTGCAGTCTCTCCGACTCACCTCTTCCCTCGCCACCTTCAAGATTCACCTCAAGACCCTCCTCTTCAACCGTGCTTTCGATCTCCCTGTTTCCCCCCTTGCCCTCCCCCCTCCCCGACCCCGACCTCCAGCTCGGGTCCGTAACTCTGTCTGTCCAGCACCTTGGGACGTCCTCCCGACATGAATGGAGCTATACAAATGTAATTTTGTTGTTGTTGTTGTTTCATATTCACAATAGAGTCAGTCCCAATGAACGTGGATATAAAGCTGTCTACCAGTTTATTTTTCATGCTGTCCTATAGGTCACCTTGTGCTACCCATCATTTCCTTCAAACAATAATGTGGTCAGGTTTTTGGTTTGCAGCCCTTTGCCACTCTGAACGGCTGCAACCACAGCAGCTTTGTTTTTAACTTAAATTAGGCAAAATTTCAGATAGGACAAATCTGCTTCATGTCCTCCCAAAGTGAAAGGTACTATATAAATGCAATTTTTTGTTGTTGTTTTCAATGTTTTTTTCACACCTTGCTCTCCACTCCCTATACGAGCTCCTCCAGGCTGGGTTCCGCCTTGCCCACAATGCAGATACAGCGTGTGTCAAAGTCACAGATAATGTCCTCTCTCTCTGTGACCAGGGCTCCCTCTGCCTCCTTGTCCTTCTGTACCACTCCACTGCATTCGATACAGTTAAACACCTCCTCCATGGCCTCTCCTCCCTGATCCACCTCGTGGGACCGCTCTCGAGTGGTTCGAGGCCTACTTAACCAACCGCCATCAGTTTGTCTCTGGAAATGTTTTCCCTCCAGTTCCTGCCTGGGATCCCGAAGGCTCCATCCTTTGCCCCCTCCTTTTCTTTATTTTCAGGCTCTCTCTCAATTATGTCATCCACAGACAGAGTCAACTTCCATATGTATGTGGATGACACACAAATCTACTTCTCCTCCAGCTGCAAGTCCAGGTCCACTGATGTTCTGTCAGCTTGTTTGTCAGACATGAAGGCCTGGATGAGCACAAACTACCTGCAGTTGAATGTTGACAAGGCAGAAGCCATACTTCTTGCACATCTTCTCTCCTGCAGCTCTGATTTCCTCAACCTCCCAGGCCTTTCCCTCAAACTCAATGAACCTGTGCATAACCTAGGCATCAGGTACAATCCACAGCTGTCCTTCCTATCCCACTTCCAGTCCCTGACCAGGATCGCTTTCCGCCACCTCCGCCACATTGCCCGCCTCCAACCGCACCTCACACCCAACACAGCTGAAACACTCATCCACACTTTTGTTACCTCCTGCCTCGTTTATTCCAACGCCCTCCTCGCCGGTCTCCCCCGCTCCACTATCCACAAAATCCAACTAATTCAAAACTCCGACCCATTATTATTATTATTATTATTATTATTATACTCATCTGCACCAATCCCTTTTCACCAGTCCATGCCAGCCTCCACTGGCTCCCTATCACAAAACGGATCAATTTAAAGATCCTCACACTTGTTTACAAATCCCTACATACCTCCCTATCTCTCCGATCTGCTTACTCCCCACTCCACTAACCACCACCTCTGCTCTGGCTCCGACCTCCTCCTTGTCCCTCGTGTCCTCCGCTCCGTCATCAGTGGCCATGCTTTCAGCCACTACACCCCAAAACTGTGTAACTCCATCCCTCAATCCCTCTGCCTTGCCCCTCCTTCCCCATTTTAAGGTCACGCCTAGAAGACCTTCCTCTTCAACCATCCTAGGCTCACCTCCCCCAGATCAGTGTCAGGCTCCACCACGGTTAAGTGGTCCAAAACATTACCCTGCATGAAGGGCACTATATAAATGCTAAGATCTTGTTGCCAAGTGAAGCAAGTGCCCTGACAACGGCCAGCCGAGGACCAATATAAGCAGTACTAAAAATAGAGGGAAAAGGTTACCAGCAGCACATTTTCAAACGATCGTGCCAGAAATAGCACTAGTCAACTTGTATTAATATCCTTGGGCAAGGAAATATCCTTCCATTTGGTCTTTTTTTCTTGTCTTAAATGCCATTATTTTTTCCTTCAATAATTTGCGCACACATGGTATTACTCAGCTGAGATGGATAAACGCACAAACTGCTCCTAGGCCTCATCAATGTTACTGTGCAATCCATTACCAAAATGTACAAACCATCCTTTCCCCCTTTACCTCTCTGTGAAAAGCCTTCGCCCTTCATTTGATATCTTCTCACAAGAACCCAGCCAAGATTGTTAATGCTACAAGGATCGTGGGTGTAAACCTGCCTTCATCTCGCTCTGGTACAGCTCATTGTACACCAACGCACTCGCTGCTAGACTGTCTTTGCCCAATGTCTATAATGACATCCTGCAGAATTGCATATATGGAGAGCAGAACTGTGGTCAGGGCCCTTCCCCAACAAAGTCCCTGATTTAGAGGGACAGCCCCTACATTTGTTCTATTTTCAATTGCCTGAAATACATAGAGGCAGGAAGAAAACATACAACTGTTGTATAGTGTATAGACACCTTAGTTTCAATCTTTATCATATTTGTTTCATCGAGGACTTTCAATATTTCCACTTCTAAAGCCACTTCTTAGAGCAGATTATTTTATAAAGAGATTATTTTAATATTTGTGTGAAAAGCAATCGTTATATTGGCATGTACTATTTCCAAACTACAAAATTATGTTTTTGATATAAGAGATCAAACTTAACAGATTGAAACCAAACATAATTACACTGAATTTTACAATGCAGAAGCAAGCAACTCAGCCCAACTAATCTGGACCAATGTTATTTTGCATGAGCCTCCTCCCTTTCTAATCCTCTCGTAAATACATAACACTACGGGGGAGGGGGGCTGGTAACTAGAGAAATGACAGGCTAGGGGGTACCTACAGTAATGACAGGTTAGGGGGTACCAACAGTAATGACAGGCTGGGGGGGTACCTACAGTAAAATGATAGGCTGGAGGGGTAACTACAGTAATCACAGGCTGGGGGGTAAATACAGTAATGACAGGCTGGGGGGGTAACTGTAGTAATGACAGGCTGGGGGGGTAACTGTAGTAATGACAGGCTGGGGGGGGAAATACAGTAATGACAGGCTGGGGGGGTAACTGTAGTAATGACAGGCTGGGGGGGTAAATACAGTAATGACAGGCTGGGGGGGTAACTGTAGTAATGACATGCTGGGGGGGTAAATACAGTAATGACAGGATGGGGGGGTAACTGTAGTAATGACAGGCTGGGGGGGTAAATACAGTAATGACAGGATGGGGGGGTAACTGTAGTAATGACAGGCTGGGGGGGTAAATACAGTAATGACAGGCTGGGGGGGTAACTGTAGTAATGACAGGCTGGGGGGGTAAATACAGTAATCACAGGCTGGGGGGAAATACAGTAATGACAGATTGGGGGGTAACTGTAGTAATGACAGGCTGGGGGGGGAAATACAGTAATGACAGGCTGGGGGGGTAAATACAGTAATGACAGACTGGGGGGTAACTGTAGTAATGACAGGCTGGGGGTAAATACAGTAATGACAGGCTGGGGGGTAACTGTAGTAATGACAGGCTGGGGGGGTAAATACAGTAATCACAGGCTGGGGGTAAATACAGTAATGACAGATTGGGGGGTAACTGTAGTAATGACAAGCTGGGGGGGGAAATACAGTAATGACAGGCTGGGGGGGAAATACAGTAATGACAGGCTGGGGGGATAACTACAGTAATGACAGACTGGGGGGTAACTGTAGTAATGACAAGCTGGGGGGTAACTACAGGAATGAAAGGCTGGGGGGTAGTAATCACAGTAATGACAGGCTGGGGGGTAACTACAGTAATGACAGTCTGGGGGCAGTAATAGTGATGAAAGGCAGGCAGGATAACTACAGTAATGACAGTTTGGGTGGGGTAACTACAGTAGTGATAGGCTGTGGGGGGGTAACTACAGTAGTGATAGGCTGTGGGGGGGGGGGGGGGTAACTGCAGTAGTGACAGGCTGTGGGGGGGTAACTACAGTAGTGACAGGCTGTGGTGGGGGTAACTACAGTAGTGACAGGCTGTGTGTGGGGGGTAACTGCAGTAGTGACAGGCTGTGGGGGGGGTAACTACAGTAGTGACAGGCTGTGGGGGGGGTAACTACAGTAGTGACAGGCTGTGGGGGGGTAACTACATTAGTGACAGGCTGTGGGTGGGGGGTAACTACAGTAGTGACAGGCTGTGGGGGGGGAACTACAGTAGTGACAGGCTGTGGGGGGGGGGAACTACAGTAGTGACAGGCTGTGGGGGGGATAACTACAGTAGTGACAGGCTGTGGGGGGGGGAACTACAGTAGTGATAGGCTGTGGGGGGGTAACTACAGTAGTGACAGGCTGTGGGGGGGGGGTAACTACAGTAGTGACAGGCTGTGGGGGGGGTAACTGCAGTAGTGACAGGCTGTGGGGGGGTAACTACAGTAGTGACAGGCTGTGGGGGGGTAACTACAGTAGTGACAGGCTGTGGGGGGGTAACTACAGTAGTGATAGGCTGTGGGGGGGTAACTGCAGTAGTGACAGGCTGTGGGGGGGGTAACTACAGTAGTGACAGGCTGTGGGGGGGTAACTACAGTAGTGACAGGCTGTGGGGGGGGGTAACTGCAGTAGTGACAGGCTGTGGGGGGGGTAACTACAGCAGTGACAGGCTGTGTGGGGGGGAACTACAGTAGTGACAGGCTGTGGGGGGGTAACTACAGTAGTGACAGGCTGTGGGGGGGGTAACTACAGTAGTGACAGGCTGTGGGGGGGTAACTACAGTAGTGACAGGCTGTGGGGGGGTAACTACAGCAGTGATAGGCTGTGGGGGGGTAACTACAGCAGTGATAGGCTGTGGGGGGTAACTACAGTAGTGACAGGCTGTGGGGGGGGGGAACTACAGTAGTGACAGGCTGTGGGGGGGATAACTACAGTAGTGACAGGCTGTGGGGGGTAACTACAGTAGTGACAGGCTGTGGGGGGATAACTACAGTAGTGACAGGCTGTGGGGGGGTAACTACAGTAGTGACAGGCTGTGGGGGGGGGGGGAACTATAGTAGTGACAGGCTGTGGGGGGGATAACTACAGTAGTGACAGGCTGTGGTGGGGGTAACTGCAGTAGTGACAGGCTGTGGGGGGGGTAACTACAGTAGTGACAGGCTGTGTGTGGGGGGTAACTACAGTAGTGACAGGCTGTGTGTGGGGGGTAACTACAGTAGTGACAGGCTGTGGGGGGGTAACTACAGTAGTGACAGGCTGTGGGGGGGTAACTACAGTAGTGACAGGCTGTGGGGGGGTAACTACAGTAGTGACAGGCTGTGGGGGGTAACTACAGCAGTGACAGGCTGTGGGGGGGGGTAACTACAGTAGTGACAGGCTGTGGGGGGTAACTACAGTAGTGACAGGCTGTGGGGGGGGTAACTACAGTAGTGACAGGCTGTGGGGGGGTAACTACAGTGGGGTGTGTGGGGGGGGTGGGGTGTGTGGGTGTGTGGGGGGGGTGGGGGTGTGTGGGGGGGGTGGGTGTGTGGGGGGGTGTGGGGGGGGTGGGGTGGGTGTGGGTGTGTGTGTGTGTGGGTGTGTGTGGGGGGTGTGGGTGTTTGTGGGTGGGTGTGGGGGTGTGTGGGGGGGTGCGGGTGTGTGTGGGGGTGTGTGTGGGTGGGTGTGGGGGGTGTGTGTGGGGGGGTGTGGGGGGGGTGGGGGTGGGTGTGGGTGTGTGTGTGTGTGGGGGGTGTGTGTGGGGGGGTGTGGTGTTTGTGGGTGGGTGTGGGGGTGTGTGGGGGGGGTGGGGGTGGGTGTGGGTGTGTGTGTGTGTGGGGGGTGTGTGTGGGGGGGTGTGGGGGGGGTGGGGGTGGTGTGGGTGTGTGTGTGTGTGGGGGGT